GTTTCATCAGGAAATTCAGCACTACCGCCGAATGATGACCATAGTTGGACGGATGATAGTAGGATTCCAACGATCGAAATAAACGCTTCAGATGTGGCTGAATACTGAAAAGTCGCGCGGTGATTCAATGATTGAACCGTTGTCATATTCTGTCAACACAAAAATACACCATCGTACTGATAATCTTCAAACTAAATAATAAATTCTTCAACGATTCATTTATCGAATGCTTCGCAAATTTTGATGATGGCAACCTTCTCTTATGCAAGGTATTTGTTTCACGGAAAAGAGTTTCATATGACCAAAAAAGACCTAAATTCCTCAAGTCTCACGCAAAACAAAACGAATCGCCTTCACAAAATGACCCTGTTAAAACTACAAAATGAATGAACAATCCCCAACAAATAACACCAACCCGTCATCGTGCCCACCCAGCATATACGCAATCCAGACCGCAGCAGTGTCCAAATTAAACGTGGTCGTACCGCATCCAATCTGAACACGTTCTGCACCAATATCCAAATTCATTGAACGCAACACACGCGTCATTATCACATCGTATTTGTCCGACCAGTTGATATAGCCGGGACATTCACGAGATAATCTTCAAACTTATGTTTACGGCTTTCAAGATGATATGCAACCAAAACACACTCGAATTTAATTCAGAACACACAAACAAACACAATAAACCCTTCAAACAAAATAATCCTAAATATGAAATTCAACTTGAATTCGCCCTATCATCCAGTAAAACCACCTAAACGAACTCTTTTCTCATTACTCTTCTCAACGTCCAATAAGCCTGTTCAACCAAAACAATCTATAGAACTGATCTCAATCGAGGCAAAATGCAACCACACAATTCAATAACATTCTACCATCCCATCAACTAATCAAAACGACATTCTGCTGAATTCAACTAAATGATCGCCACTGAAATAAAGATAAAACCAAAACACTCCTCACTCACCTCATGAAAATGCCCTCAATTTTCGACTCGAACGTCGAATTATTCTCGATGCACATGAACCAAT